AGCTTAATGTATAGATTTCATGTGTTTCTGCTGCTTAGCTTTGTGGTGAGGGAGAAAAGCAGGAGGGAAGAAATCCTGCCTGTAAAAAGTTGCTCCATCAGTCAGGTTTTTTGATAAAGACAGTCATTTTAAAAAATTACCTAAACTGTTTGTAGTCAAGGACAAATACAAGTAAGTTGCAGGCAGAGCAATTAATCTGTTCAAAGACTGGTGCTAGCAGGGTGGCTTAGGGGGCACAATTGCACTAGGAAGAGCTTTTCAAACAAATGTAACCATTCTTGTAATATGAGTGGACGTTGACTGCAAGATAATTTCAGGGGGCTGCTTTTGCTTTAATGTAGTCTAGATTATTTATCTAAAGTGGAGTTTTTTTCTGCATTTCCCTCCAAACTTTTCAAAAAGTTAAACTAATTGCAAGGTCGTGGGCACAAGAATACAGTCAAGGAGATAAGCAAGGAGACTTTTTTATTATTAGCTAACTTCAATAATCAGCTAAATATATTTTAGCTATGTCGCAGGCTTATTCCAAGGATCATCTAGAGAAGAACAGCAACAGTGGGTGCCTGTAAATGTTTGTGTTTGTGAAATATTAGCATGGTCTAAATAACTTAAAAAGAGAAAAAGCCCTTAAAGTTTATCATTATACGGACTTCTTCTTATCCCCACTTAGGACTCCTGCTTCAGTGTAGAAATGATCTTCCATAGTCATGCACATATAGAAAGGGAATGTTGAATAAGATTAGCAACATAAATCTCTGCTGCTTTATAAGTTTTACCCAGCTGCTTGGTGATTTCACAGCTGTTTCTGCAGTTGATAACAATTTCCATTGCTCCTCTGTCTGCAAAGTTGCCACACTGCTCTGCTGCAGATTCTGCCTTGTCACTGTTTGAGTTATAAATCTTGTTTTAAAAAATCCAATAACAGAAATGAACAATAGTAAATATAATGGACTTATGTTAATTACAGTGAGTTCTTGGACTCAGTTTGCCTTTTTTTTCTGGGACGAGTTTTCAGGATTATATTACTTAGGTTTTGTTATAGCAGAATGTATTTTAAAGGGGTTTTTAGTGGGAAGCATGTTGTCATTGTCAGTTTACAGCTAGGAAAACCAAGGCACAGGGAGATGAAGTGATTTGCTCAAAGAAATGGGAGACATAGAAGAGACAAAACTCCAAGTATTCCCAATCGTGATTCACACGGTGAAGTGAGCCATAGAAAATAAGTTAAATGAGATTTTTAACTACAGAAATTAATGTGCATTACCTTTTCCTGCCTAGCTCTTTCTGGGGGACTTGCCTGGGTTGTGACACTCATCACTGAGACATCACATCATCAAAGGAAAATGTTACATAGGGCCAGAAATGGGTGGCTGCTGCCAAGAAAAGAGGCAGAAACCACAAGGAGAGCCAGAGGGAGAACATCTCCTGCTTCAGTTAGGTTAGGAGCAGGAGTCAGCATACAGCGGGAGGTTTTCCATGCAGGCATTTTGTTCTGAAGAAGTTGATAAAAATCCGACAACTTCTCTTGTAGGAAACTTCCATGCTAGAATATTGTCACCTCCAGTTCATCATTCAACAACATCTGACACTTCAAAGCCTGGAGCGGCTCTTACTGCTGCATGACTCTGCCTTGAATTGACATACGAGACATCTTCCGCTGCTTGCTGAGCCAAGGGATTTCTTACGATGGCTTTCGCATGGACTGGGTAGGTGTGTATGCTGATGGATTTCATGTCTTTTCAGTAAATCTCAATTTATGCTTACTAGCGGGTAAAACATTCCTCTCCTCTTTATCCAGTGTTAGCCACAGATTGCCACGGGAACACATTCTTCCTCCAAGTCAAAGTAGCTCCCTGAGACAGTACTTCTAGTATGGTTAGTGAGAGGATGCTGGTGTTGCCGGGTATCTTTGCCTAAATTTCTTACCCTGAAACTTGAACCAAGTCACCTGTTGACGTAAGTCAGAAGAGACTTTGCTGGCAATGAGGATCTAGTGCCCTGTTTTCTAGAGCTGAATACCTTTACTCACACTTCAAATAAGTTCTGTTGTTTATTTAACTTACAGTATTTCAATAGAGGTTGGTTTATTTGTTTTATCTGAATGCCTGTCTGCTTACATCCTGTTACAGGCAAGAACTGTGCTTCTCAGAAGTCAACAGGTATTTTGCCATTGACTGAATTTTGGTAGTTTAGGAGACGTTTTTAAAAATTCCTGTTAGTTTTGACTGTGTAAATATATCTTCTTTATTCATAAATCTCTGTACAAGATATCTAAGAGATTTTGTGCTCATTGGAGATGTATCTGAAGCAGAGGGACAAGGACTCTAGAGGCAGGAGTAAATACAGTTTTATTTCATGTTAAAGTTTTTCAGAATAATCATGTTTATTATGAATCAAATCCAAAGCCTTTTCAAATTATTGGGAAGTTTCCCAATTTCTGTGACTTTTAGAGTACTTGGACTTTTGAATAGTTATTATAATGTACTTCGAACTAGTGGACCTTTTATATGGAAAATGGTAATTTTTTACCTGCCTCAAATTTAATGATGAAATGTTGAGGAAATTGAACAGGGCTAATGGTAAGATCGAAAAAAGGTGCCATTTGGGTACCGCATTCTCCCATTGTGCTGAACTTCTGCAATGTTTTGTGGATAAGTAATGCAGCAACATAATGGCACGAGCATGAGTCTCACTGGCATTATGGGAAATGCAGAACTTGGGCTCAGATCCACGTGGGGAAAGATCGATGACGCTCTAGAGCAACCCCATGGCTTGCCTGGGCTCTTTCAACTGATATAAAAGTGCTTAATCATGCATTATGATTCGAAGGACAAAGCAACAGAGCCTAGGAGAACCTAGGATATCTAAGGTGTCAGCACAGATACATTTGCTTTGTCTGACAAGCACTGATCAGATCCCCTTCCTGCCCTTGGAGGTACTAAGTACCTTCACAGAAACACAGAATCACAGAATGGTTGTGGTTGGAAGGGACCTCTGAAGGTCATCTGGTCCACCTCTTGTCCTGCTCAAGCAGGGTCACCTAGAGAAGTCTGCCCAGGACTGTCTGATGGCTTCTGAATATCTCCAAGGATGGGGACTCCAAAACTTCCCTGGGCAACCTGTTCCAGTGCTCAGTCAGCCTCACAGTAAAAAGTGTTTCCTGATGTTCAGGCAGAACCTCTTGTTTTTCAGGTTGTGCCCATTGCCTCGTTGTCAGTGTGAGTGCTCAGTGTGTGCTTGGTTGTGTTGAGCTCAGCATTGTCATGAGGGAGGGAAAGGCTGCCCTGTCTTGTAGCTGCTGAGCCCCTTGCAGGATTGAGCCCTCAAGATAGCTGTGTACAGCAAGATACAGTATGGAGCTCTTCCTTAGAGGAGTAGAACAAGAGCTTTGTCAAACCAGATCTGAACTTTCCTTCTCTCATTAGGGTTCAAGGAAACTCAGAAACAAACTCTCTGACTAGATACAGAGTATAGCCTGTTTGTGTCCGTGTTTAAAAATAGTGAAATCCTCTTTCTCACAAAACATGCAGTCAGTTATATGAGGTACTGAGATACAAAACCAAGGGCTCTCCACAATGGACAAGTATATCTTAGCAACAAGGGTGGGAGTGGTGAGAAAGGAAAAGGAGAATACAAGTATCTGGCAATTAACTTCCTAGTCACAGATGTGAAGGTGATAAAAGTGATAAAAGCATTACTGCATTGCCAGTGCTCTTCCTTGTTCTCTGAGCTGCGTATCATGCTGCTCATAAGAGCAAAAGCTACACAGCCCATACCAGAGAGTGGCGGAAGAGCCCTGTGAGCTACTCACAGCAGGAAAACCCAGTGGTTCCCCAGTGTCCCAGTCTGTTGCATGTGGTAGGGCACACTGGGAGGACAGCCTGGTCCAAGGCAGCTCAGCTGTGGTAACCTCAGCATTGTCAGAGGCTCACTGCAGGCTCCGGGGCAGCCCCCACGCCACCACAGTCCCAGTGAGATGGCTGAGGTCTCTGTCACAGCAGCCTGTGGTAGCGGAGAGCCATGGGCTTGTCTGGCCCTGAGCATGTGGACTCCAGCTCTGCAATGGGCTCCACGGAGCCTAAAGCTATTTTGCCTCATAAAACAGATGCAATCAAACTGTGCGTGCTGTCTGTAGGATTGAGAGTGTGTATAAAATACGGAGACAGGAGGAAAGCAACCTACTGTAAATAGGATGAGTGAATATGACTGTAAATCTCCCTCCCACACAGCAACATGGATGTGGTTTCATGTGTTTATAAGGGACCCTTTACTTTTGCATTAAGCCAATTTAAATGGCAAGCTGACAGTCTGGCATTGATGTTGCTGTAACGGTAGGTTCACCAGCTTTCAGCTGGCCTTTGCTGAGTGCAGAGGACTGTCTTCATCCCTGTTTCCCCCACATGCGTACCTAGTCATGACCATTTGAATTTTTTTGCTTAAGTAGCACTTGTCTTGAGAAGGGGTTTGCTGTTCAGTCTTGTTTTTTGATGGGCCAGTTCTTGCCCATGTTATTGTGATATGCGTTGGAGCAAATCTGTGTAATGTGTGTGCAGGTGTAAATATGAAGAAACAATTTGAAAAAGTGTGTGAGCAAGAGTAGAATTTTTAGCTAAAACAGCCTGTGGAATTCACCTTCTCATAAGAAGATGTAATGCTATTGAAATCTAAATTAAATCCAGAAATACTGACTTCAGGATGTAAGTTAAACTGGGATTTGGCCAACAACACTTTAAGGTTGGTGTCTGTCTCGGTCTGTGACTCTGTTCTTTCTAGCACTTATGCATGTGCTCATGACTATGAGAAGAATTGATTCAGATCTTCCACAATCAGTAGTGTTACAATGAAACTTGTGCGTAAATCCTTCTGGGGTGAGAGTGTCTGCTTGTTTGTGATCCCAAGGGGGATACTCTTGTGTCAGGCATTTGTCACATAATGGTAATGCTTCTGAGTTGAACTCGTGCTCTTCTCTCCACAGTGCAATGCGTGTTCAGCAGAGCCTGCTCTAGCCTAAGAACTGAAGAAGTGAAGACAATCAACATGACAAACGAACCTATTAAAGAGATCCTGGGCACTCCAAAGCATCCTGATTCTGTAACCACGGAGAAGAGTAATAACAATGACTGTGTGATAACCACCATCCCTCTTGTCAGTGAATGCCAGCTGACTGCAGCAACAGGGGGAGCAGAACTCTCCTGTTACCGCTGTACCATTCCCTTCGGTGTGGTTATCCTCATAGCCGGCATTGTGGTTACTGCTGTGGCATACAGCTTCAATTCCCATGGATCAATCATCTCAGTGTTTGGATTAGTCCTCTTGTCATCAGGACTCCTTTTGCTGGCTTCTAGTGCAGTGTGCTGGAAAATCAGGCAGCAAAACAAGAAAGCAAAGAGGCGAGAGAGCCAAACAGCGCTTGTAGCCAATCAGCGAACCTTGTTTGGTTAAAGACAACCAAGAGAAGGCTGGACAGAAGACAGAACCTTTGTAAGTCAACCTGACTATTTATCAATAGGAGAGACTGCAGGTTTTAATTTAACTTTGGAAATGAACTGAAATGAAAATGGAACGGATTAAGAAATACTCTTAAAAACTCTGCAAGTGCTCTTAATACTTTTCTTACTGCAGACTTGGCAGTGATTCTTTCCAAGATGGAGGAAAAAACTCTTTTTCTTCACAGAAAAGAGTGTCGTCATAACTGCAATCATCATAACTGTGTTCTCCAACATGCTGATCATGTTGGAAAGGGAACTTGTGAGAACTAAGAAAATAATTTGAACTGACTTGAAATGCCAGAGATCTCCTTAAAATACACACTGTGACATTTGACCAAGGGAGAAGTCATAGCATTTGAAGTGACTGCAAGCTTACGGTCAGATTTTCTGTGACTTAGATTGTGGCTCAAAAAAAAAAAAAAAAAGGCAATAACAACCAAACACAGTGCAGATTGCTCAATAAGCTGATTCTTATATTTTATGTAACTTTCCCCTCCCAATATCTGTGGTACTTTCCCCCTGTTTTAAACCAACTAATATTATTTTATTTTACTATTGAATAGAAATAGGTAGAAATGTGTAATTATATTGTCTAACCTAAATAATGAGGTATGATTATAGCTTAAAACATGAGACTTTTTTTGTAAATGAAGGTGGTCAGGTTTAGCACTTTTGATTATTTTGCTATAAAATTAAAAAGTAAATTTCATTAAAATAATATTCAGTGCTGCTAGACCCTTGGAAAATCTTTTTTTTATTGCTATCAAGATAGCGTGTATCTTCAACTTTGACTGCTTTATGATTCTATTTTTGTAGAACAACACCTGTGGCAGTAATTGTGAACATATGTACTGCTGAGCTCTTCCAAAAATCTCTGTAGACTATGGATTTTGGTTTGATAGCCCATGCCTCTTGCAGCTTGATTAACAATTCAGTTATTGAAAAATCATAACGGTCAGTTCCGCAGACACTTACTGGCATAGTCAGTTTTAGACACAACTATTAATAATTACTTGTGGAAGCAAAATCATCTGTGTAGTAAGTGTTTGCTGAATGAGCTTTGGGATTGCAAATCTGCATGAGAAGCAGGTGCCAAGTGTCCCCCGTGAGTGTCTGAGATGTTTGATCCTGTAACCCTTGTGTTCTAGAGGGCTTCCAGAGTCTCTCAGGTAATGAATAATTGAGGGGCTGGTCCCAAACTGAAGCAAACCAGAATATTATTTCTTCATCTGTATGTTGAAGGACAAGTGGTGCTGAGCCAAGTCACAGACTTCCACCCCAGCATGTATGAGGGTATCGAAAGGCAGAGGAGCTGCATGGAGTCCTCTTTCTTTTTTTTTTTCTCTCTCTATCATTTTGTTTGTTTGTTTGTTTGTTTTCCTTACTTTCTCCAGACTCAAAAGGGCCAGCTTTCCACTGTTACAGTGAGCGAGGCCTGTGCTAGCATGCCTCCTCCTTGCCCTCCGGAGCCTCTGGCATCCACAACGTCTATGGC